GCCTTGCTCCCAGAAGCTTTTTGGGTCCGTTCCATGAAAGGCAGCTGGGTCATTTTTGAGGTGCACTTGAAAATCGTGTTTCCTACCCAGAAGATGGCTGTTGTGGGATCGACTCAGATAGCAATGAATAGCTAATTAAAGACAAGACTGTGGTGGAATTCCTCAGCTACGCTTCAGGATTTTGAGCAGTGTCATATTGAAAGCGAAAGATCCTGTAGGTAAACATTGCTGAGTTAAGGACTAAACGGTGGATATCTTCATCCTAATTTCGCCGTCAGTTACAGTTGGACCTACCGGTTACCAAAGCGTTGGGAAGAGGAATCTCCTGACCCCACTTACACAGTGTCATTGCACTACTTTGATAAGATTGCATGGCCCTTTGTGGAGCATCAAGCCACTGGCGCTTCCGAGACCTAGAACCTCTCCTCCGTACTCGCTTACAACGTTGTTCAACCGTATTGCAGGAGCGGTAGAGAGTTTGTAGATAGTACCACATGCGCTTTCTCTCGAGTATCTGTCATTCCGTGGGAGAACTTTTGATCGATTTTCCATTTTTTTGGGGAGTGGGAGATCTGCCATTTGGCAGTTCAGGACAGTCAATTGTAAGGACTAGATAGATAGAGCTGATTCGTACGAAAGGGTTCTAATCAAGGAACGCAGCCGGGACAAATCCAAGGCAGATGGTTTCTCTCGACGAGGTTTGTCTCTCCGACAAAAGTCCTTAAGCGAAAGCGATCGGACCATTCCAACGCCGTACTATGGAAAGTAGCAACAGGACCTAACGTAGAGCAAATGCCGCGTGTGGCTCCAATCAGGTTCTGACTTGGTGTAAATTCGTGCGATTTGTAACAAAAATTGTGACTTTCATCTCCCATTTTGGGCATGACAGCGGCGACTTCGAGGGATGATAAAACAACGTGGGATGCCCATCTAGCACACTTACTGTAACCACATAACTGGAACTCGAACAGAGTTCTGTGAGCCCTGAGATTCAGAAAAAATGTCGCGAACTTTTGAGACAACCTAATACAATCGCGAGATTTGTCCTCGAATAATTCTGTGTCAGGCTTGTGGTGAAGCCCGCTTCCTCACATGATACCGCTAGGAAGTGTCCGGTCCTGATAAACACTGTTCGAAAGCAGGTTCAATTATGCCATATGAAATCCGGCGTACGCCGAGCCAACGCGGACTTGCAAGGCACAAAAAGTATGAAGAGTTTGTGGGAAATTTGATGCATGGACGGTATCGGGAGGAGGGTAACCAGGCTAGCCCAAAAATTATGAAATCTAAGAAAGGCAGCGCTGCAACGTTGAATGTTGGGACGTTGACGGGATGTCTAGTGAGCTGGCAGAGGCACTGGAGAGCAAAAGATTAGACCTTCGTGCTGCGCAGGGAACAAGATGATCCAAGTCAAAGGAGAAGCTTTTGAAACATTCTTTGTGGCAGGATGGTTAGCCAACGACCATCATCGAGGGCTATATTCGTCTCTCGACGTCTCCGGGACTCAAGAGTAGAACGTCTCGCTTACTGTTACGACTTCGGGCGAGAGTGCTTTATATGGCACGAGACGACAATTGACAAAACACCGGCGAGAGGGTCTTTTATAGACCCCAAAATGACCTATCACTGCATAACACTATGGCAACCACTCATATTATCACCTTGGACAGTGACCCATAAGCACTAAGCGGTTTACTGCAACACTGACCGCTTGAAGAAGTTTGTTCTTGCTGTCAAGCAACGACCGTTGCATTTTTTTTCTGCGTATGCTCCGCAGACGGGATGTACAGAAGAGCGATGGAAAACGAAATCTTTCTCTGTTTAAAGATAAGACAGCTGAGTTACCGTCAAAAAACGCTGTCATTGTCGCTGATGACTTTAACGGGCACTTGGGCGCTACAAAAGACGGCTACATCTTCCATATAGGTTCCGGTTGTGGGTTACGTAACGCCGATGGTGAGCGAGTTCTCAAGTATATGACCTGACCTATAACCTCGTCAACGTGAATACGAATTTTATAAAGGTGACTCACACCTCATAATTTTCTAGAGTGGGAGTACCAAAACACGGATCGGCTTTGTCTTTGTTGGATATTACGACAAAGATGAGAAGACTGTGTCGTACAGGACAGCTGCCTCAAAACATCGCTCACTAAGCAGTATGCTGCAAGTCGCGACTCCAAGGTCGAGCGGAACGGATGGAATAAAATGGTGGCTTTTGGGGAAAGAAGGAGGGAGCTGTATTTTCTCGTTTTCGACTTCCCACTGCCACGACTGTCTGGGAGACCCAGGCAGGTGCGGCCTAAAGCATTGCATGATGCATGAGGCGGTTAGTTCCATTCTTGACATCACAAGGTCTGAAAAGCTTGGAATTGACAAGCAGCATTGGAATGGACCAACAGCGTCGAACAAACGAATGTGAAAAGGCGCCACCACGTCAAAAAAGTCAGCTAATAGCTGGCAGAAGTAAGCCAAGGGTGCAGCGAATCAAGCTATGGCTGCTGTGAAGGCCGCCCATTTCAAAGATGACAGTAAGGAGTCTGATTCACGCGATAGAGAGCGACACCACGACTGCGTGGCCGTCTTTCGACGGACCAAAATAGGGTGCTGAGAAGATGATGCGACATCTTCGAGGATATCTAAACCGCAGATTGTATACATCCAACCATCTTTCGCCTCTCCAGATTATAATCCACGTTCAGAAGATAACCTCAGAGGGGACGGAGTTCGCTCTCAAGGACATGAATTTAGGCTAAGCAGCAGATCTGACGATGGGACAGGGCGGCAATCTGTGGAAGTCGGTAGTACTCTGCAGAGTGGTTGACGGATTTCTTCAAGCAGGTGGTTGCTGACCAAAAGAAGCCCAAGGGCTGGCAAAACAGCAGGACGGTTCCGGTTCGGAAAAAGGGCATAAGAAGAACTGCTCCAACTACCGTACGATTTGCTTACTGCTACACAGCATGAAGATCTTAGATCTAATCGCTGACAGTAGCATGCGGTTTGCTTTCGATGATCGCTATCTACGCTCTTCTGCGGGAGACATATAGTGAGGAGCGAAATGCACTTTATCTAGATTTTCTGGGTCTAGAGAAGGTATTCGATTCTGTTAAACGTGCAGCTATACGACACACCTCGAGGCAACATGGCGTTTTCATTGAGCTTGTTGAGTGACCGCGCATCCTGTACTTCAGCCCAAAGAGCTGCGTATAACAATAGACTTTTCGCAAGAGTTTCCCATGTACATCAAGGCTTTGTGCTCTCGCACTTCTTTATGTGATCGTCATGGGAGCAATTCTCTAGGAACCGAGTCCTCGGACGCCTCTCTGGGCAAACGATATGGTGCTCACCGATGGAGATCAAAACGATCTCGAGCAACATGTGCACGCTTGGTCTACCGCCTGGTAGAGCTCGGATTCAGTCGAACATCAAGAAAACCAAGTACGTGTTGATCGATTCGAGCGAGTCGTATTCCATTAGAATCAGTGGCATCGAGTTGAGAGTGCAAGAACTTTTAATTGCCTTGAACTGGACACTGTGCTCGATGGCAGCCTGAATTAGAGGTGAACTCGTGCGTGAGTGGAGCATGGATGGAGTGACGCTCCATTACTGGGAGCCTCTGTGATAAAACGACGATACTTTCAAGATCTCCACTCGAAGGCAAAACCACAGATGCAGAGTAATGGAGTAGAAATACGAGTGATAAGCCAGCAAACTAATGAATAAGGGAAGAAAAATCTAAGCGAAACCATCGGGAATGCCCTTATCACGACCCTCTGCCAAAACGAGGTTGTACGTGCAAGAGACAGAGAAAAGGCGTGTCCCGGACGAGTTCTCCGAGGTGTCCGACAGCGCCGTTGGCGTGGGCAATTGGCCAAACGTTGTAGTGTGATTGCGTACGACGAACCATTACGGCTATCCTACGCATATTTTCATTCTCCCTTCGTCGGAGTAATGGAAGCTACACAAACGGGGTTGCCGGCGCAAGCATGAAAGATTCATCTTTTCTGTAGCCCCAAAATACGTGGTAATCACGTCGTACAGTCGCGACGAAGGCGACCCACGCACCTTCCCATACCGCAATTAATTTCTAACTGTTCCCTTCAACGGCTACTTACGACTACCGAATAGAGTGGTTGTTTGGAAAACAGCTGTCCCATTCCAATTGATCAGAGTGAGATGATGTGTGAAAAGAGCTGCTACCGCTATGATACCATCAGGTTAGAAGGAACTGTCTTTCCGCCGTATGGAGGTGCAAGGTTGGTTTGGCATGGGCTTTTATCTAGGGTATTTTCGTCAGATTCTTTTCTGCCCTTCTTCACTAGATAGATAGTTACCATCTCGTCATTCATCATTTATCGTCACTACTTCAATTAGTGATCAAGGGACGTGCCTTAAATACTTTGGTCTTTCTATCTACTCCAATTTTTTCATTTCTTTCACAATACAGCACGATCCTCGAAACATCCTTTATTATACTAATTAATAGAGATTTAAATGGTTCGAATAAGGGACGAGTTTTCCATTTCGATGTTAGAGAGCAGGTTAACGTCAACATGACTTCTCATAAACACTTCATAACACTTTCGAATACACAGCAGTTGAAAGAAATACTGAAATACAACTGTGATAGTAATACCATAAGAATAACATGTTCACAATAATCAAACACACGAGAAAATTAAACATTCGAAAAATGACCGTGCCCGTCTGCAAGAATCAAAGAACCAGAAAGCGAGCAAAAAAGAAAATATGTACTACTACAGCATCCAGAATAATGTAGAGATATGAACATCCGTAAGCAGTAAGAAGAGACGAGGTTCGTGGGTTTCGCGATGTGTTGAAGCGAATGAATCAAAAAAACGGCAGGAGAATGGGAGAATGTAGGAAGGTGGAAAGTAGGCTGGGGAAAGAGGTGGTATCAGAAGAACGTTCAGGGGGGAGGGCCTATCGAAAATTGACCTGTATGCTTATTGAAGACGAATGCCGGAAAACTCACAGTTCTCAGGAATCATATTCGTTTTCGACAGCAGCCACTGATCCAGGACCGCGGGCTAGACACACTGTTTGAAATGTTACTATAAGATTCGACATGGCACGCAACTGCTGCAGATGAGAAACCTGAAAGGAAGTACTAGGACCTTGTGTACCGAAAACATCGCCACAGTGTCGGTTATCATGCATGTCATGTCATCAGAATTAGAGTGATAAAACACCAAGAAGAATAAATCCACTCACCCCTGCATGGATGCATAAGCAGCAAACAGAATCTTTGGGGCTCAGTTTCAGCGATTTTCTTGTAAACCTACAACATATGGTAAAATTCAACATGACGTTATCAAAGAAAAGAAAACACTATCGAACAATACCTTCATGAAACAACTCATCTACCACCTTTCGTTCACGACGCTCATACTTCTTCGCATATGGAACCCAAAACGAAGATGCGCTCAGTTGCACGTTGAGTCACAATCTGGAAAGCATGATTCAGAGAACTTTATGTCCTTCAGTCTCACGAAAAAGTTCCTCTCATGACCACATACGACCCGCATTCTCTGCAACTACGCACGACTTCCCCCATGGGATTGTCCCAATTGATCTGGGATTGTTCCAACTGATTTGATCTATACTCATAAAATACTTTACACTCAACGCGTCTGCTGGAGTGGAACATAAGGATGAGGGAAATAAATTAATGCATAGATGTGCAAAAAAACGAATGGGAAGACGTTCAGGAAAAGGTTCAAGAATTCTTCCAAGGATCCTCCAAATCCTGGCGGAATGATTGGTGGTTCGTACGACTAGATCCTTCTAGCGAGTTAAGTTTCAAATTGACAGCAACGAAGAGGATTATTCATTCTGAATGTGTATCTCACAAAATCCTTTCGACTTGCTCAGTTTTCAAATTTAGATGGAAATTCCAAGAAAAACGTCTGACTAAAGTCAAGGACGATGAAGCATACAAAAGATTGACGAAAGTTTTCACTGCAGGCCAGAACGTTGGACTTTCTGAATTCAAGTCTGGCCAGAAGTAAAGCTGCCAGACCAATTATTTGGCTACTTAAGAAAAAGAGCAGTTTTCAGAAAAGGTTGCATGCCGGCGAAAATCTGTGGGAATAGGAATCACTATAGAAATGGGAGTATTGAGGCCGACAATCCATGCTTACCAGAAATAAAACGACTGGGAAGTAATGTATTGAGAGCAGGAAGCGCTGCGATGAGAATGGGTAGTGGTGCGTGAACTCGTCCGTGTGGAAGCATATGCATAGCAATGCGGGCAAAGAACATAAAAATCCTACCAATTTTGTTAGTGAACATTGTTGTGTGCCATGCAACGTGCACTTACCAATAGCTTTTCATGGAACTGCAGTTATTCCTTATATTTGGAGATTAGAGAGCAACAGGGAGGCAAAATCTCTATAGCATGTGACCTGGACCTAATCAGCTGTACAGTTTTCCCCATTTCGCGGATTTCGCAGCAATGCCCAAAACGCAGAAATGCCGAAAACGGATGAAGAAGTAATAGGGATCGGTCCACATTGGGAGCGCGGAATTCGCAGAGAAATTTTTTGCGGTTCTTGAAATCGAAATAAATTTCCTTTCTTCTGCGAATTTCGCGGTTCCCATCTTTGCAGGTGAATTCTACATCCCGTTTCAACACGGATTCATAAAGCGAAAACAATATCTCCAATAAGATCAACTCACAAATAAGAACAAAAAGCCAAGACGAACCTTTTCGAGATTGGCACGCGTCGACTTCTTTTTCCTGTGGGCTTAGGTGGGACAGCGCACATGGAGGTCTTCAAAAACGATACCATCGATGAAACATGAACCTGAAACACGTACCTAATTGAATAAGCAAAAATGGTAGCGGAAAAAAATTGGAAACAAACGAAAAACGAAGAATCAGAGCAAACCGATTGCAAACAATTCAACGCACACGCGATTATTGATCAAAATGGATGGCAAAGGGGAATGGAAGAGGTGAACAAAACAGGTGAACAAAACAAAACGAAATAATAAGCGAAAAAACCTCAAAACAGTGAAAAGCACAAGACAGCCATCAGCTGTTCGGCGCAATAATTCCGACGAGACACCTAGCAACGCAAGCACGGAGTTCAGCGTTCACTCTCGGTGCGTCGTCACATTGGGCATGGGCCTTCGCGGGTTGCCATGGGCCTAAGGGGTGCCAATGGGCCTATTTGCCCAGCTTCTACGGGAAAACCTGCTTTTTTGACTTTTTAGGTGTGCCACAGCCCCTGCAGTCGCCTGGGAGACCATTTGGCACATTTTAAAGCGTATGGGGTTAGTTTATCGCGGAAAGTGCCTTTAATCGAAATAGGCACCATTCGAATCAGCACACTTTTGCCAATGTGACAGCAGTCGAGAAATCCCATCAAAGTAAAAAACTGGGTGGTCGAAAATTCACGAAATCCACGAAGGCTTTTTTGCCTGGTCCTGATTGATGAAGTATTTTCCAGCAAGGGAGTTCTGAAAATGTTTGAAAAGGTGATAGTCGGTTGGTGAAAGGTCTGAAGAATATGGCGGGTGAGGTAGAACTTCAACCCCCAATTCGTTCAATTTATGGATAGTGATTTGTGAAACGTGTGGGCGGGCGTTGTCATGCAAAGGAATCGGACCCTTTCTTTTGATAAGTGTTGGCTGCATCTGACAAAATTTTCGGTACAATTCGTCGATTTCTTCACAGTAGGGTTCTGCTGTGATGGTTTGGCCTGGTGATAAAAAGTTATAGTGGATCACACCAGCCGATGACCACCAAGCCGTGACCAGAATCTTTTTTTCGTGAGGGTTCGGCTTTGAAAATTACCTCGGTGGTTCGTCGAAATCCAACCACTGTCCGGAACGTCTCCTGTTATCATACATGACCCATTTTTCATCACAGGTGACAATTCGGCCCAAAAACAGGTCGTTTCTGCTGCGCAAAAGCAATGCAGAAGGAACCTCGAGACGTGCCGATTCCTGCCGGTCACTCCGATTGTGGGGCACCCAATTGTCGAGTTTTTTCACCTTCCCAATGCGTTCCAGACCATCTGCAACAGTGGATTTGCCAAGGCCTAGCTCTTCTGCTATCTCTCGAACTGTTTGGGATGGGTCAGCCTCCAAAATCCCCCTAAAATCCTCGTCAGATATTGCTTTAGGTCGACCGCTATGAGGTTCATCTTCAAGGCTGAAATCTCCAGAACGAAATTTGTTGAGCCATTGCCGCACAGTGCTTTCTCTAGCA